CATATGCAGCTATTTCTACAAAACAGGCAATACAAACATTCTGGAAAAGTTTTCCCTCCCACCAGATAGAAGTCCAAGGTGTTCAGTACTTGTTCTGCCACATATTCCCAAGTGCCATCTCTCCACTAATACATTCAACTGGCTTGTTACAATACAAATGGGGCAAGAAATAAAAGTTTACAATGAGTTTCCACCCTCCCCCCACAGTCTAATTTTGTCTTCTGAGGCTTCACATGGCACCACCTTCCTTCTGCAGCTCTCACAGGCATCTGGGTAAATGGTAGGACTTGGGAAGCTGTTCCACTTAGATTGCATGGTGGCTTTTTAGTGGATGGCTGGATTCAAAACTCAATTCCATGACTCAAATGGATGGAGGCAGCATCTGGGTCTGTGTGTTCTGCTTCCAAAGGCTTGGGAGAGGGTTTCAGGGCTGAAAGATACAAGAACAAGGTCTCCCCCCGCTTTCTGGATGGACTCTCCCAGGAGAGGCAGACAAAAGGTATGGAGAACAAAGGACAGGAAAAGAATTGGAAGAGGGGGTAGCTTGCAGGCAGTTTGAAAAGGGCATTAATACTGCAGTTATTAAACATAAACAAATGGGGAACAAAAAAATGAAATGTTTCACCTTTGAACTTGACCATTTGCAACATATTATGGACAAGAACTTGCAACTTGAAAGGAAGAGGAGAAAAAAAATGCTAGGCAGCTTGAGAATGCTGAAAACTCCAAATAATTTTAAAAGCCTAATATTTTAAGGTGTGCAACTTTCCAGAGGTAGGAGAACATTTATTCTAAAATAGACCACATTATTTTAGAGATTAGAAAATGCTTATTTGTTTCAGAAAAGTTTCATAGTAGTTTCACCAGTAAGTGATAGGATAAGAAAAGTAACTTAAGAAAATTATTTCCCCACACAATCAGACTTGAACTTCAAAATGCTCTTGTAGATAGGCACACATTTTTCAGGAAAAGGATAGATAAAACACATACAGTAAATGCAAGTGAAACTTTTCCAACTGATAAACTTAAAACAATCCCTCCAAGTAACTTAAGGCTGTTCTTGAGCGTACACAGAGACAGAGAAAAACAAACAAACAAACAAAAACATTTTTTTTTCTTCACTCTGTTTGTTGGCTAGACAAACAGAGTGAGGTATTTCCTTTTTGTGGCTTATTTTTAAGCAGAATTTCTAGCAGACTTTAAAATTCTTTTTCCTTTGGATTTGAAACAGTTAACAGTCACATTTACCTCTCACACAGATTTTGACAAACATATATACACAAAGACAAGAGAACAGAAGTCTTAGTTTTACACATCCTAGTCATTCCCACCATAAATTTCAGATAACTCAAGTTAGGGAAGGCACACATTTTAAACATACCACGTGGTTGCATAGAGAAGAGAGAGAGAGAGAGATAGAGAGAGAGAGAGAGAATCACTATTTCTTATTTTCCCTTTTAAGTACCTTTATTTAGCCAAATTGGTTTCCCAGCAAGGCCCTAAGCAAAGTCTGTATTTTTTTTTTCATACACTACACAGTCAAAGTCTCCTTGTGAGACTTCTTTCCTAACTTTGCTTTGCTTACAGGGCCTTACCAGCTCGTTGCCCAAATCCAATTCTTTCATTCACTCATTCCATTTCTTTTTCACACAGTCTCTCCCTTTTCCCTAACAAAAGGTTCTGTGCTCTGGCCAACCCCCATGCTGTCCAGGTTCTGCCAATTAAACAGATCCTTTCTGCGGCTAGGAAAGACCAGAAGCAGCAAAATCCAATTGTGAGTGTCTACAATAGACTTTATGGTCTCTATAACGGTTTGAGGATCCGCATGAAAGGTGGCAGTATCCTTTTTCCAAACAACCAAATCGGACAGGGAGAAAGGGGTGTGGGTTAAAAGGTGTCCTGTCTGGCCCTTCGGTTGCCCGGGTATGGGCCTGTTCAACAAGGGGGCCATGAAGGTTGGTTCAGGGTGATCTAAGGGAGACTGGGGGTTCAAGTCAACTTGAACCGGGTTTCTCTGTCTGGATAGTTCAGCCCAGCAATACCAGTAGGGTAGTTGGGTTGGTTCTATCCTTGACCTAAGTGCTTTTGTGTGTTGATTTCTAGAGTACCACCATCGGGCCAAATTTGTCTTCCATTTTCATCTTTAAGCAAAGCCCATTTCTTACATAATTCCTTTAATCGTTTCTTCTTCATCCTGGCCTGGACAGGAAGCTGATTCCTGTCCCAGGCTTCGAGCAAGCTCTCAACTGGGAAACCCACTTCGGCCCTTGAATTGGAACTCCCCAACCTTTTATAACGGGGTTTTAAACCCACTTCAGCCCTTGAATTGGAACTCCCCATTCTTTTATAACGGGGTTTTCCTTTCAATGTTAAAGGGCACTAACAGTCGAAGTCTCCTTGCGAGACTTCTTTCTCCTAATACAGTCGAAGTCTCCTTGCGAGACTTCTTTCCCAATACACAGTCGAAGTCTCCTTGCGAGACTTCTTTCCCAATACACAGTCGAAGTCTCCTTGCGAGACTTCTTTCCCAATACACAGTCGAAGTCTCCTTGCGAGACTTCTTTCCCGTAATACAGTCGAAGTCTCCTTGCGAGACTTCTTTCTCCTAATACAGTCGAAGTCTCCTTGCGAGACTTCTTTCCCCTAATACAGTCGAAGTCTCCTTGTGAGACTTCTTTCCTAATACAGATTCTCGGAGGTGAGCGGCCACCTCCGCTCGGGGCTACTGCTTTGATATTTACTGGCAGAAGGGGTCTTGGCTTGCCCAGAATAGGGTTCTCTTTCTCTGCCCGCTCGGTCCTCCTCTCTCACCAGAAGGTCTCACGCTCCGATGCCCCCCCCTTGCTTTCCCGAATTCCGCCGGTCACGGCTCCACTGGAGCTAGCAGCATGTCGGGGTGCGGCTAGAGGGCACACGGAGGGAGCGAGCTCCAGCTGATTCTAAGAGGAGGATGCCTCACACACACACTCATGCATTCTTCCTTTCGTTCCCCCAGACCCTTTAACCTAATAGATTTAAATTTTGGTGGCACTTACCCTCTTTCCTGGTAGCTGTTCGAGCGTAAGACTCAAAAACTCCCTTTACTACCCGATGCCGACCGGGCAGGGTCCGAGGAGGCTTCCCCACGGATCAAAGTGTCCGCTGCCGGCTGGGTGATGACTCTTCCGGGCCCGGTCTGGTGGCTGGGTGAGCTGGAAGTCCCATCTGGGTCGCCAGATTGTTGGGAGGAACTCCCCCGTTCGGTTCTTCCAGCCGGGATTCTCCTTGACGGCGCAGTGCAGAAGAAATAGATCATGAAGCCAGCTACCAGAAAGAGGTTTTATTTCGAGGATCAGCGTTGAGTGACAATTCAGCTCGAGTCCCCGGCTAGCTAGACAGAATGATCTTTAAATAGGGGTTTTTATACCCTTTTGTGGTTTCCAAACTTGTCATTTCTGATTGGTAACAAACTTATCATTTCTAATTGGTGAGTTTGAATCTGCCTTTTCTGATTTGTTGGTCAGTGACTATTGTTGGTTAAATTTCTTTGCTAATCCTGCCTGAAAGGTGTTAATTACTTTATTGTTGTGTCCTGATTGTTGCTAGCTGGTTCCTCATTGTGTGTGTCAAGTGTTTGCCATTTAGCCTCAGGCTGCTGTTGACCCAGTTTAGTTGGGGTGTTCCTAGATTATTTCTTAGTTGGGCTGGGGAGGGGGTGTCCACCTGTCATCAGTATTTATCAATGGAACTACATCTACATGGAGAGAAGCATGTAGTGGGGTACCTCAAGGTTCAGTCTTGGGCCCAGTACACTTCGACATCTTCATAAATAGGCTCAAGATCGAAAGGGATCCTGATAGATTTGAGCATTGGGATCTATCCAACAAAATGTAATTCAATGATGAGGAAAATAATGTCTGCATTTAGGCAGGAAAAACCAAAAGTACAGGGATAAAATAGGTAATAGCTGGCTCAATAGAAGAATCTACGTGTCCAACAGACAAGAGTAAGACAAGAGTGTGCTTCAGCTGCCAAAAAAAAAAAAAAATCAATGTAGTCCTAGTCTGCATGAACAGAGGGATAATGTTACTTTACACCATGCAGGGTGAGACCACACTAAGGATACTGCTCCCTGTTTTGGTTCCATGATACAGTATAGATGTTGAGAAAATATGCAAAGAAAAAGGAAGATGATAAATCATCTGGATGCTAAATGTCAAGTGGTTGAGAGAGCTAGGTATGTCTGGCCATGGAAGGGAAGGATTGGGGGGGGGCATGATAGCTGTCTTCCACTACTTGAGGGGCTGTCATGAAGAGGAGATCAACTTATTCTCTAGGGCAACAGAAGGCATAATAAGAAGTTCATGGGTGGAAGGATGTCAAGGGAAGATCCAATCCAATTTCTGTCAGTGAGTGCAATTGATCAAGCGAATAGCTGGCCTCCTGGCATTGTGGATGCTCCATCACTGGAGGTTTTCAAGAATAGACCAGACAATCATTTGACTCAGGTTATATAAGGCACCTGTCTTGAGCAGCGGGTTGGATTAGAAGACCACTGATGCTATGATTCTATGAGTTTAGAGACAGCTTAGAAAATAGCTGAAGAACAACCCATAAACCTGCTTTTGGAAGAGTCCCTTTTTAAAAAATATATATGAAAAATTAAGATAGAATACACACTCCAAAGAAAAAAGAATACAACAACAAAACAAGGATAGCCAAAACATTAAAAAAGAAAAAAAATGTGTATTAAAAAAGACGAAAAACAAAAACAGATTTACATATAGTAAATCAGTTGAATGTTGATAAACATATTGTAACAATATTAGTTTCCTACCCTTGCAAAGCAGGCCAAAATTTGTGAATTTCTACCTCTAAGTAGAATCAATTTGTCCTTCATCTATGTCAGTGTTTCTCAATCTTGACAATTTTAAGGCATGTGGACTTCAACTCCCAGAATTCCACAGCCAGCATTGCATGGAGGAATCTGGAAAAAAAAGAACTGCAAGGTATAGTTTATTGATTCTCTTTTCATTCAGGAACTCAAGATGGCATACAAATATCTGTTGTTTTTCCTCTGAGGTTTATTTATCTATTTTTAAGAACTGCTAAGGACCAGATGACTTTACTATGTCCTGATATGTAAAAACCATAGAACTCTTTTTCATAGGATCCTATGAGCGCACATGAATGGGTGGCTCTGCAAAAATGGACTCAGGTGACTTTGTGAGCTGAACTCTTCCCAAGAAGCTGTGACTGGGAGCACAGCCACTTCTCAGAAGCCACCTGACCATGGATGGAAACTGTGGGCTGGTTGGAGAAGGCTGAAGGGGATGTGGATTCCAAAGATTTGGAGTTAAACATTGCTGGCTGTGGAATTCTGGGAGTTGAAGTCCACATGCCTTAAAATTGTCAAGGTTGAGAAACACTGATCTTTGCAGTGTGCATAAAGGCAAAATGCTGAACAGATGAACCAACAGTAAAGTTAAACATCAAAGCCCTCTCTTAACCATCTATTGTATTTAACTACAATGGCTTCTTATTTACGGTAAGTCACCCGATTATTGTCTCTGATCCATGTAGGATCAAATATACTCGTCTGATTCTTAATAATAAAGCTTTTCCTTAAGATTTTGATTGAGGACTTTCCCAACAATTGTGTCTTATTCCCCCAAATCATAAACTTCTGTTGTCGATCCATTTTATCAAAAAAGTTCAGTATAAATTGTTTTCCAGTTAAATAAAATAAGTCCATTCCCCAATCTTCTTAAGAAAGTCCAGTTCATCACGCATCGAGTCTGTTTAACTCCAAATCTACCATGTCTTAGCCTTAGTCTTAGCCCCACATTTTCTGGACCCTGCTTCTTATTTTTCCCTCTCTGTGACTTAATGATTTCTGTGACTTCTGTGCAAGAAAATTTACAGAAGTTCATGGCATTTAACACTTAGCAGATATACACTGTCCTCCTTCAGGAATGATGCTGGCATGCTGGGTGTCCTTGGATGCAGCCCTGGCCAGCAGAAGTTGCCTCCCCTGGAGTATCTAGCCTGATGGTGTTGCCATGGCCTAAATCCTTGGAAGCCGCAGGAAATCGGTTATAAAGATTTGGGATGTAGAGAGATGTTTATCACCACTGAGAATCAACCTTTAAAAAGTTTATTCTATAATTCTGAGAAACGGCCATGAACTTTTAGGGCTCAGCACACAGCTAATCTTCACAAGCTAAGTAACATCACATTTCACTATTTCACTTGGATCAGTTGCAAAGATCGATTGCTAGAAGTCAAAAACGACTTGATAGTTTTTAATCAGGGAAAAAAATCTTGCAAATGGCTTAGGTAGAGATGAGCGAAATATGTTTTTTTTTTTTTTTTTTGCCACCTATCTATGGTCAAGTAGGCAACCTCTGTGTTTGGAAAGCTGAAAATGCAGCAGGCGGCATCTGTGTTTGAGTTTAAAGGAGTTAAAACCATCGAGTACTGTATTGCTAGAAAGGATGGGAAGAGATGAGAAGCGCGGAGGAACCTGCTCTTCTTGATTACTCATGGGAGGAATTTGGTGTGCAAAGTGGCTTTTGTGCTCTTTCCAGGGTAGAAGCAGGAGCTGGAAGGTGAGTGGAGGGCAGGTCGGAGAAGAAGCCGGGAGCAAGCGGGGCTGTTTGGTTTCCTTCACGGCGTCCAAGCAGAGAAGCAACTCGGCTGAAGCATCTCAGCTGCTGCTGCTGCCAATCCCTTCCCTCCCCAACTTTTAAGTCCTCTGGTGCTGCAGGCTGTTAAACTGGGGGCTGCGATTTTCTGCTGGTGGGAAGATTTAAAAAGTCTCCTTCAAGTGAAGGTTGATTCTTTGGGAATGGCTTCCCTCCAGACGTTGTGAGTGCTTCATCACTGGGTTTTTAAGAGGAGACCGGACAGCCATTTGTTAGGAATGGTAATCGTGTCTCCTGTCCGAGCAGGGGATTGGACTAGAAGACCTCCAAGGTCCCTTCCAACTCTGTAATTCTATTATTCTTTCTGTTTTCTTGGCAACAAGATGGAACTGAAGGTGCCACTGATTTTAATGGATTTTTTTTTTACTTCCATGTCCTGCCAATAAGCATGGTATTTCCTATTGGTGCCCCATCCATGTATTAACCAGGTTCAACCGTTCTTAACCTAGCACTTTTTAAAAATAGCTACTGAAGAGTTTTTGGCATGTTCAGTTTGTATAAGTCAGTGGTTCTCAACTTTCCTAATGCCGTGACCCTTTAAAACAGTTCCTCATGTTGTGGTGACCCCCCCACCATAAAATTATTTTTGTTGCTACTTCCTAACTGTAATTTTGCTACTGTTATGAATCATAATGTAAATATCTGATATGCAGGGTGTATTTTCATTGCTACGAATTGAACATAATTAAAGCATAGCGATTAGTCACAAAAACAATATAGCAATGCTCGCTGGAGAAGCTTACTCTTCCTTGCTCAAAAATGTTGGGAGGGAGGGAAGGGGAAGGAAGGAAGGAAGATTGAAGGGGAAAGGAAGGAGATGGAGAAGGAAGGAGATTGAAGGGGGAAGGAAGGAAGGAGAAAGTGATTGAAGGCGAAGGGATGGAGATGGAAGGAAGGAAGGAAGATTGAAGGGGAAAGGAAGGAAGGAAGGAAGGAAGGAAGGAAGGAAGGAAGGAAGAAAGAAGGAAGGAAGGAAGGAAGGAAGGAAGGAAGGAAGGAAGGAAGGAAGGAGAAAGAGATTGAAGGGGAAGTGATAGAGATGGAAGGAAAGAAGGAAGATTGAAGGGGAAAGGAAGGAAGGAAGAAAGGAAGGAAGGAAGGAGAGATTGAAGGGGAAGGGAAGGAGATGGATGGAAGGAAGGAAGGTTGAAGGGGAAAGGAAGGAGATGGAGGCAATTGAAGGGGTTAGGAAGGAAGTAAGGAAGGAAGGAAGGAAGGAGAGATTGAAGGGAAGGAGATGGATGGATGGAAGGAAGGAAGGAAGGAAGGAAGGAAGGAAGGAAGGAAGGAAGGAAGGAAGGAAGGAAAAGGTGCTTTATAACGCTCGACGGGGAAAGATATTTTAACCCCTGGTGGCTGATTGAGGAAGCCAGGTCCGTCGGACCGATTTCCAAATAAGCCTAATTGGGGAGGTGGGAGTGTAAATGATGTATCAAAGGATGCTTCCCGTTGCCCCTTCCCCTCCCTTTTTGGCTACCACTAGGGAAAATGCAAAGGTGCGCACGCGCAGGGGTAAGAAAGAACAAATGCCCGGACTAAAACTGGTGCCAACGTTTCCAAACGAAACGCTCCGAGCCACAAAGCCTTATCCAAAGCGGAGTCTGCTTGAATGATTTCCCTTCCTGCCGTTTTTATTCGTCCCCCATATCTGAGCAGAGCTGCCGCCGGCCTGCCCTCGTAGCCATGGGTCCCGGAGCAGCGCCTTTCCAAACTCTGGCGCTGCTTGTGGCGGGGATCAGAGTGGGGGAGAGGGATCCTTTCTTACAGCTCCAAAACGAGTTTTCTCCTTTGATTTTGGGGCCTTATTGCCGGCCCAGCCAGCTGGCCGCCGACGCACCTGCGGGCATCGCTGCAGCTTCGCCCTCTTCCCTGCCCCCTGGCTGCTTCCGAGGCCTGGAGCCCGGCAAGCCGGGAAGGAGCCATTCCTGCCCGGCAGCCCCATGGCCACGCTGGGCGCCAGAGGGCCGAGGCGGCCTTTGACGGCGAGGAAGGTGGGCTGGGTGGCGCGGGGGAGACTCCCGCGTGGTGCGGAGGGCGCCTGGGGGCCGAGTGAAGCCGGGCAACCAGGAGGCATGGAGACCGGCTCGGCGCCGCTGCTCAGCTCAGCCGGCAGTGGCGGCAGCGGTTTTCTCCCCCTTCTCCTCTCCTTCCTCCTTCTGCCCCCAAAGCGGCTCGGGTGGGAGCCGGGAGGATGAGGGGTGCCTGGTGGGAGCAGCGGGCTGGCAGAGGGGCTGGTGGGCCGCATGCGCCAGCCCCCATCACGGCTCCATTGATGGACGGACTAGTCCAGGCAGTGCGGGGGCGACAGCAGTGGCGGCAGTCCCTCTGCCAGCCCACTGCTCCCCCCAGGCACCCCTCTTCCTCCTGGCCCCCACCCAAGTCGCCTTGGGGGCAGCAGGAGGAAGAAGGAGAGGAGAAGGGCGAGAAAACCGCTGCCGCCATCCCTGCCGCCCCCGTGCTGCCCGGCCTCGCCCTCCACCCATCCGATGGAGCCACAGTGGGGGCTGGTGCCATGTGGCCCATCAGCATCCAGCCTGGCTGCTCCCCCCCAGGCACCCCTCTTGCCCCGGCACCTGCCTGAGCCGCCGTGGGGGCAGTAGGAGGAAGAAAGGGAGGAGGAAGAGGATGACAAGGAAGCCGCCGCCAGCGCTGGGCACCAGGAGGCAGCTCTCCTCTCCTATCTTTGCTGAATCTCCTTCTTCCCGGCAGCCTGGACTCCGGCGTGCCTTCCTGGGAAGCGGGTCCAATGGTCAGGCTGGCCAGGGATAGCAGCAGCTGATCTCCCTTGGGCCACGGCTTGTGGGAGGGCTGGCCCATTCAGCAGAGCCTCCAGTGGGCCACTCCCAACAGAGATCCCGGGATTTCCCCGGGCGGCTCCAAGGCCACGAGGCCCTGGCTGCGCTTCTCCCAAGGGGTGGGGCAGCTGGGCGCAGGGCCAATCAGGAGCCCTACAGGAGGTAAGTCCGCCTGAGAGAGAGAGAGACAAGGGAAGCGAAAGTGTCTCTCTGTCTCTTTCTCTGCAAATGGTGGAGGAGGCCATGTGGAGACGGATGCAGAGCGGTGTCTCGGTTCCTAAGTCCATCGGAAATATGTGTTTCCCGATGGTCTTAGGCGACCCCTGTGAAAGGGTCGTTCGACCCCCCCCAAAAGGGTTGCAACCCATAGATTGAGAACCGCTGGTATAAGTAGTGATCACTTATCACTTGTTCCTTGAGCCTTCAAAGTTACAATGGCATTGTAAGAGCAGACTTATGCCTGCTAAAACAAATTAGTGGTCATTGTAGCAGCTGTTCAGTGACCCTATCATTATGAAAGTGCCGGAAAAGGAAATGCACCAATTTGGTTTCTGCCAACTGTTACACATTTATGATGGCTGCAGTATCTTACACTCATGATTCCCGTTTGTGACCTTCCCAACTAGATTTTGACAGACAAAATCACTGGGGATGCCGGCAGGAAATTGCAAGTGAAATTGCCTTTAACAACCCACCCGAATTTGCTTTACAATTGCAGAGGAACAGATGTAAGTTGGCACTCTCATGTGACATCATGCTTCATGATCGGGCTGCTTAGTGACATAAATGCCCTTTCCAGTTGCAGTCAGTAGAGGACTGCTTGAATTGGGATATCACCAGAGTAGTTGTGGACAGCATTTTCTCCTCTTATTTGCAGCTGAGGACTTCCATGAGCAAAACTGGTGCTTTAAATCTTGCAGAGGCTTTAGGCATCATTTCATCAGTTACAGTAATGGCCAAAATTGTGGAAAACATTTGGGAAAAGTCTACATTTGAGGTTTAATGGCTAATAACACCACTTTGGGGGGGGGAGTAGTACCATAAAGTTATATATCAATGGAAAGATAATTTAATCAAGAGTGTAATCCAATAACTTTTATGAAGGATTTGCTATTAGAATAGCAGTTATAAAGAAGAAACGTGAAACACATAGAAAAAATGAGATATATAAAAATTATCACCATGTCAGTTAATACTTAGTTGGGTAACCTTTAGCATGAATTGTGGCCTTACAACGTCTTCCCATGAAGTGAACCATGTCCTTTAGTTCTGCAGCTGTTATAATGTGAAACCAAGATTGAATGATTGCTTCTATTAACTGGGTTTTATTGCTGGGTCGCTTCTGACTAACAAGTTTCTTTAGTCGGCTCCATAGATTTTCATTTGGGTTAAGATCTGGGCTATTCCCAGGCCATTCCAGCAGTGGAATATGATTATCTTGAAACCACCTTTTGCACACAGCAGCAACATGACATGGAGCTGAATCCTGTTGAAATATAAATGTTTCATTGTCTTGGAAAAGATCATGTGCGGAAGGCTTCAGTTTGGGCTCAAGTATTTCATTAATGTATTTTTGGCCATTTATATTCCCATTAATCACACACATTCTGTCCGCACCTTTTGATGTCATACAACCCCAGATCATAACACTGACTGGGTGTTTCACGATACATGTAATGCAATCAGGATGCAAATCTTCTCCAATTCTTCTCCTTGCGTATTTTATGCCATCACCATCACGAACAGAGAGATCTTGGTCTCATCACTCCAAATAACACGCCCCATTGTTCCTCCGTCCAGATAACATGGTTTTTAGCCCAGTTTAGTCTTTTTAACCTTTGTCTGAGAGATAAAAGTGGCTTTTTTCATGGAATTCTAGATTTTAGGCCAAATTCCTGCAGTCTGCGCAGAACAGTTCTTGCACTCAACTTCATATTGCATTGCGCCATTTCATCTTGTATACACCTAGATGATTTTCTTCTGTCACGTAGGCAAAGTCTCTGAATTCTTCTATCATCACTTGCTGTTGTGCACCTTTTCCTGCGTTTACCAGAGTGGTTTTGTAATGACTGAGTCTCATTATACCTCTTCAAAAACTTAGAAATGCCACCTTTGGTTAAGTTTCCACCAATTTTTCTTCTAATTTCTTTATAACTGTAGCCTTGTTCACTTAATACTACTATTTTACATCACTTTCTGGGCGACCAGTCAACTCTTTGCACCATTACTTTAATTTTATTATGTTTTGCAAGCTCATTAAATGAAAAAACACAAAAAGCACACAACCAACTTGATAGAGATCACATAACACATTCACAAATGTCCTCTTCTCAGCTTCAATACATGACATCAATAACTGAATCCTATTGTGATCTGATTGGCTTATTGCCAAAATAAGATGACACCTGATTGGCTCTCTAAACACTCATCCTCATTGGCTACAATCAGATGAAGGCATGCTACCTGATATCAACCAAAGCAAGTTGTGCTTCCCTTTTCTGGTTATATGGCTATAACCTTTCATAGAATACAGATAATTGAACAATCTTTGTTGTATTACATTCTTGATTAAATTATCTTTCCATTGATATATACGTTATGGTACTACTCCAAAAAGAAGTGGTGTTATTACCCATCAAACCTCAAATGTACACTTTTCTCAAAAGGTTTCCACAATTTTGGCCACTACTGTATAAAGCATATAAAAAACAGATGCAGGAATGGGTTATGTCTAGTTTAATTAAAAGAAAGACTAGGGATGACATGATAGCAGCGTTCCAATATTTGAGGGTCAGCCACAAAGAGGAGAGGGTCAACCAATTTTGCAAAGCACCTGAAGGCAAGACAAGAAGCAATGGCTAGAAACCTATCAAGGACAGGACCAACCTAGAGCTAAGGAGAAATTTCTTCACAGTTAGACAGAAGAAATGGATGCTCCATCACTGGATGTTGTTAAGAGTTTGGACAACCGTTTTTCTGAAATGGTATAGGGTTCACTATCTGAGTAGGGAGTTGGACTAGAAGACTCTTAGGTCCCTTCCAACTCTATTATTCTGTTATTCATCAGTTAAAGCCCCCACATCTCTAAAATTAGCTCAAAAGCTTTGATTTTAACCATTTTGGGAGATTTTTCCAAGCTTGAAAGACATAGGTTTTCTCCATATACACATTTGTGTGTATGTGTGTGTTTGTATTTCTCTCTGTATGCGTAAATCTGCAATTATAAAATCTATTCCCAGCACTTCCAGATATATTTGATGATAACCCTTTGCATTGCTAAGAATTTGTGATTGATCCAAGTCAACAAAAGAATTTCATGATTGAACAGATATCTGAATTTGGATGTGTGTAATCTTCCATGTGTCAAATGAATCATAATTAATGTACGAGGTTATTCTAGTATTGTGGCATGTTTGCTTTTTCATTGTAATGTATTTATTTATCTTTTTTTCACATCTCTAACCATTTAATTACACTTTTCTTTGAATCTTATAGACAAAGAGAATGGCAATAAAAGGACTCTGGACAGCTAAGAATAACAAGCAACATTGGAAAAGGAAAGCAAACTGAGCCAGAAATCAAAATATTTTCCATTTCCTTCAGAAAACCACAAAATTCTCCTCCTGCAGCAACGGTTAGACAAAAGAGAGAGAGAAAAAGAAAGATTTCACACTAGAATAAGTAGATGATTCAGAACTCAAGGATGCCTTACATGAAAAGTGAAGGGAGATTATTTTTCATTCATTAAAAGAGGGAAATATCTGGAGGAAAAAGTAGGAAAATCCCGTAGAGCAGAGAGCCATACAGGCCTCGCCCTGTGAGGAAGAAAACGGCTTGAATGAAAGCACCACTAAACAAGGGATTGTCCATATTTTTTACCTCCTCAAAAATATCAGCTTGGAAAAGCTCTGTAGTTGTGTCTATTGTTGGAAAAGCACAGATAGTAAATCACAGATTATGCATGATAGCATCCACACTGGAGAAAAACAATAATTATCCACATGTGTTGAAAGCTTTAGTCACAACAGCTCCCTTGTGGTTCATGGAAGGGCTCACATCAGAGAGTAACCAGAGGACTCACACAGGATAGAAACCCTCTGAATGTCCTGACTGGGAAAAGTTTCAGTCAGAATTCCAGTCTGGAGATACCTCCAGGGATAAACTGTATGAGTGTCCAAATTGTTGGAAAAGAAATTGCCACATGATGAGAAACCAGAGGACTCACACAGGAGAGAAATCCTTTGAATGTTGTCTTTGTGGGAAATGTTTCAGTAAGAATTCCCATTTCATGAGACACCAGAGGATTCACACAGGAGAGAAAGTGTATGAATGTCCTGTTTGTGGCAAACGTTTCAATCAGAATTACAACCTCATGAGACATCAGAGGACTCACAGAGGAGAGAAACCCTTTGAATGTCCTATCTGTGGGAAAAGTTTCAGTCAGAAGTCCAGCCTAGTGACACATCAGAATACTCACATAGGAGAGAAACCGTTTGAATGTCCTGATTGTGGGAAAAGTTTCAGTGAGAAATTCAAGCTGGTCATACACCAGAGGAGTCACACGGGAGAGAAACCATACCAGTGTCTGGATTGTGGGAAAAGTTTCACTCTCAATTTCTCCCTGGTGAGACATCAGAGGACTCACACAGGAGAGAAACCATATCAGTGTTCAGATTGTGGGAAATGTTTCAGACAGAATTCCCACTTGGTGATACACCAGAGTACTCACACAGGAGAGAAACCCTTTGAATGTCCTGATTGTGGGAAAAATTTCATTCAGAATTCCAGCCTGATGGTACACCAAAGGACTCACATAGGAGAGAAACCCTTTGAATGTCCTGACTGTGGGAAAAAATTCAGTTTGAAATCTACCCTGGTGAAACACCAGAGGATTCACACAGGGGAGAAACCCTTTCAATGTCCTGATTGTGGGAAAAGTTTCAGTCATAATTCCTCTCTGGTGATACACCAGAGGATTCACACAGGAGAGAAACCCTTTGAATGTCCTGATTGTGGGAAAAGTTTCATTCAGAATTCCAGCCTGATGGTACACCAAAGGACTCACATAGGAGAGAAACCCTTTGAATGTCCTGACTGTGGGAAAAAATTCAGTTTGAAATCTACCCTGGTGATACACCAGAGGATTCACACAGGAGAGAAACCCTTTGAATGTCCTGATTGTGGGGAAAGTTTCAGTCATAAGTCCACCCTCGTGAATCACCAAAGTACTCACACAGGAGAGAAACCCTTTGAATGTCCTGTCTGTGAGAAAAGTTTCAGTCATAAGTCCAGCCTTGTGATACACCAGAGGATTCACACAGGAGAGAAATTGTATCAGATTGTTGGAAAAGTTTCAGTCTGAATTCAAACCTGGTGAAACACCAGAGGACTCACACAGGAGAGAAATTGTATCAGTGTCAAGATTGTTGGAAAAGTTTCAGTCAGAAGTCCAACCTGGTGAAACACCAGAGGACTCACATGGGGGAGAAACTTTTCAAATATCCAGTCTGTGGACATTACTTCACTCATAAATCATCCCTTATTGCACATGAGGAAACTGACATGAAGCAAAAGTTGAAGAGTTCCGAAAAAGCATAATTTAATTTGTGATCTCCCATTGAAAATGTAGGTGAGAAATTGACTTTGAATTCTGGCCTGATTCTTTCTAGTGAAACATGTCTCAGAATTACACTTGTAGGTGGATAGAAAAGAAAATTAGGAAAAGGCTAACTACTAATTTCTTGTTATCAGCAGCAGTTGCTGGATATTTCCTTTTGCAGAAGTAGTGGAATTCCTCAAAAAGGCTTCTGGGTGGTAGTTTTGTATATTGATTATATAATTCCCACATGTGGCGTTTCAGTCTTCTGCCTTGGTTTTCTCCAGATTTTGAGGCCAGAATTCCTCAGCCAACATACAAGTAGTCCTCAACATACAACTGTCATGGCCTGCCAATTACGGTTGCATGCTGCAACGGCCGTAAAGTGAAACTGCTTTCCTTCCCTGATGCAGCCATTAATCGAATGTGTGAATCACTAAGTGGAACACTAGCTATCTCGGGGTTGTGGGAAGCTCTTGGAGGCCTAGCACAGGACCGGGCTTGTCTGCCTCAGGCATCCCTAGGCCTCCCCCACGCTCCGAGATAACCTGTGCTCTGTTTCCAAATCCTTGGGTCTCCCTGGCCCTTCTTTCCCCCACAGCGTCCCCCCCAGTTCTTTCCCTTCCCCCCCCGGGTCCCTACAGCCTTTTTCCCACTCCCACTGCGTCCCTGCAGTCCTTAGGCCTGACTCCCACCCCACCAGGACTCACACCACCCTCCTCATCTGTGAACCTCATATTGGGGAAGGAGGGGTGGGCACACATCCCTGGGCCTCAAGACTGTCTCCAGGAAGCAGCTGTCATTTTCAATGGGCCCTGGATTCATCCCTGGGCCATGCAGTGGACTTGTGGAAATGGCTGCCATTTTGCCACACTCACACAGAAGAGGGACAATCCTCTCTGTTTTACTAACTTAACATAAGAAAGAAATGTACAGAGGTTGTAAAGTTACAAGGTAAACTCTAGCTTATTTGCCTTGCTTGAAATGTCCTAATTTCCATCCCTCAGACTGGCAGTGATGAAGAAGACCATCCCTGAATCTGAGAAAAGCGCCAATGAGAACAGATGAAGTTTAGCCATTCTAACTGTAGTTAGACTTCTGCCTCTTAATTTGTTGCCTTGATATCTGCCCCAGTCCTAAATTCTGTGAAAGTACAATATTTCTTTATATACAGTTAAAAATTAAAATGACTAAACTTGATCTGTTTTGATTTGCATTCTTCTAAGGGATGGTCTTCTCCATCACTACCAGTCTTAGAGATAAAATTAGGACATTTCAAACTGGACAACTAAGCTATGATTTCCCTTGTAACTTTACAAACTCTAAACAACCTTTGGGTCTAGCCTTTGAAAATTATAGAATTAGAGAGGATCTCTCTGACTTCCCTGATGATTCTCCCAATTCTGAACCAGATCTGACAGACAATGGGAAAGTTGAGGTCCCCATGGATGGAGAAAGTGAGTTAGACACAAATGTTTTGAAAAATTTGGGAATGAATTCCTTTAACATAAGAAGAATATGGCTGTCTCAAAGCTGATCCTGAGTATGGCACTTGGGATATTTGAAGGTTCCTGTGACTCCCTCTTGGTTGTTCTGTCTGTGCCCCCTCCTTTTAAAAGAATGAGAATTTCCCAACTGATTTAATTAAAGCAAACTTCTTTTTCTGTTTCCAATAATGTCTCTGAAGAAACAAAATGATGGGCATATGTAACTGAAGCCAGAATGGGTTTGTTAAAAACAGATCAGGCCAGACAAAACTTACTACCTTTTTGATAAAGCAATTACATTAATGTATCAGCGAAATACTGTGGAGATAGTAGACTTGGACTTCAGCAAGACATTTGACAAAGTGGATCACAACTTACTTCTTGGTAACATAGAACAACGTGGGATAATATCACCACCAGGAGGATTCGCATTAATGTTTGAAAAATTCTGGGAATGGATTCCTTTAACTTAAGAATATGTTGGCTGCTCAGTCTGAAAGCTGGTCCTGAGTGTGGCGCTCAGGACTTTTGAAGGTTCCTGTGACGCTCTTGGTTCTTCTGGGTCCTGTCCCTCCTGGTTTTATTTCTTCTTTTAAAAGAAGAAATGATGGGCAGCTGTAACAAGCCAGAATGGGTTTGTTAAGAATGTGATGCCAGACAAACATTATTGCCATTTTTGATGAAGTAACTTAATTAGTGGATTTGAAAATGTTCTGGAGATAGAATTCTTGGACGTCGGCAAGACAGTTGACCAGGTAGAGCACAAGTTAACTTTTTTGTAAGATAGAACAACATGGAGTAGATAGAACCAACCCTAGGTGAATTCGCAATTGACTGACCAACCACACTCAGTGGGTATTTATCAATGGAACTACATCTACATGTAGAGAAGCATGTAGTGGGGTACCTCAAGGTTCAGTCTTGGGCCCAGTACACTTCGACATCTTCATAAATAGGCTCAAGATCGAAAGGGATCCTGATAGACTTGAGCATTGGGATCTATCCAACAAAATGTAATTCAATGATGAGGAAAATAATGTCTGCATTTAGGCAGGAAAAACCAAAAGTACAGGGATAAAATAGGTAATAGCTGGCTCAATAGAGGAATCTACGTGTCCAACAGACAAGAGTAAGACAAGAGTGTGCTTCAGCTGCCAAAAAAAAAAAAAAAAATCAATGTAGTCCTAGTCTGCATGAACAGAGGGATAATGTCACTTTACACCATGCGGGGTGAGACCACACTAAGGATACTGCTCCCTGTTTTGGTTCCATGATACAGTATAGATGTTGAGAAAATATGCAAAGAAAAAGAAAGATGATAAATCATCTGGATGCTAAATGTCAAGTGGTTGAGAGAGCTAGGTATGTCTGGCCATGGAAGAGAAGGATTTGGGGGGGCATGATAGCTGTCTTCCACTACTTGAGGGGCTGTCATGAAGAGGAGATCAACTTATTCTCTAGGGCAACAGAAGGCATAATAAGAAGTTCATGGGTGGAAGGATGTCAAAGGAAGATCCAATCCAATTTCTGTCAGTGAGTGCAATTGATCAAGCGAATAGCTGGCCTCCTGGCATTGTGGATGCTCCATCACTGGAGGTTTTCAAGAATAGACCAGACAATCATTTGACACAGGTTATATAAGGCACCTGTCTTGAGCAGCGGGTTGGATTAGAAGACCACTGATGCTATGATTCTATGAGTTTAGAGACAGCTTAGAAAATAGCTGAAGAACAACCCATAAACCTGCTTTTGGAAGAGTCCCTTTTTAAAAAATATATATGAAAAATTAAGATAGAATACACACTCCAAAGAAAAAAGAATACAACAACAAAACAAGGATAGCCAAAACATTAAAAAAGAAAAAAATGTGTATTAAAAAAGACGAAAAACAAAAACAGATTTACATATAGTAAATCAGTTGAATGTTGATAAACATATTGTAACAATATTCGTTTCCTACCCTTGCAAAGCAGGCCAAAATTTGTGAATTTCTACCTCTAAGTAGAATCAATTTGTCCTTCAGCTATGTCAGTGTTTCTCAACCTTGACAATTTTAAGGCATGTGGACTTCAACTCCCAGAATTCCACAGCCAGCATTGCATGGAGGAATCTGGAAAAAAAAGAACTGCAAGGTATATTTTATTGATTCTCTTTTCATTCAGGAACTCAAGATGGCATACAAATATCTGTTGTTTTTCCTCTGAGGTTTATTTATCTATTTTTAAGAACTGCTAAGGACCAGATGACTTTACTATGTCCTGATATGTAAAAACCATAGAACTCTTTTTCATATGATCCTATGAGCGCACATGAATGGGTGGCTCTGCAAAAATGGACTCAGGTGACTTTGTGAGCTGAACTCTTCCCAAGAAGCTGTGACTGGGAGCACAGCCACTTCTCAGAAGCCACCTGACCATGGATGGAAACTGTGGGCTGGTTGGAAAAGGCTGAAGGGGATGTGGATTCCAAAGATTTGGAGTTAAACATTGCTGGCTGTGGAATTCTGGGAGTTGAAGTCCACATGCCTTAAAATTGTCAAGGTTGAGAAACACTGATCTTTGCAGTGTGCATAAAGGCAAAATGCTGAACAGATGAACCAACAGTAAAGTTAAACATCAAAGCCCTCTCTTAACCATCTATTGTATTTAACTACAATGGCTTCTTATTTACGGTAAGTCACCCGATTATTGTCTCTGATCCATGTAGGATCAAATATACTCGTCTGATTCTTAATAATAAAGCTTTTCCTTAAGATTTTGATTGAGGACTTTCCCAACAATTGTGTCTTATTCCCCCAAATCATAAACTTCTGTTGTCGATCCATTTTATCAAAAAAGTTCAGTATAAATTGTTTTCCAGTTAAATAAAATAAGTCCATTCCCCAATCTTCTTAAGAAAGTCCAGTTCATCACGCATCGAGTCTGTTTAACTCCAAATCTTTGGAATCCACATCCCCTTCAGCCTTCTCCAACCAGCCCACAGTTTCCATCCATGGTCAGGCGGCTTCTGAGAAGTGGCTGTTCTCCCAGTCGCAGCTTCTTGGGAAGAGCTCAGTAGAAGTAGTGTATACCTTTTTTTAATGAAAATTATCAGCACTTTTGATCAGTGACGTCATCAAAGTAAACAAGCCCACGTGCTGATTACGTCAACAGGGCACAGCCCTAAAAGGAAGTGACGTGCTCAGCCCCCACCCTCCGGATGTGACGTTTTGGCCTAATCCCATCAAGATTGGCAGGCAATCCTCTGGGTACATGATTAGGTTAACCCTAGACTAATTCTATGGACGTTCAAAACCAAAAAGAGCTAAGTAAAGTGAATAATTAGCAGAGGCCTGTGTTTTTGGGGAACAAGCCCTACTTTGGGGAGCTGTTAACCCTAGACTATTTCTATGGACATTCAAAACCAAAAAGAGCTAAGTGAATAATTAGCAGAGGCCTGTGTTTTTGGGAACCAAGCCCTACTTTGGGGAGCTGTTTGTGTTTTTGGGAAACAAGCCCTACTTTGGGGAGCTGTGAAATAAAAAATAAAAAAAGGCTTTTTATTAGCCTAACGATGCTTTTAATTTTTGTGGAGTTTTAAAAATCAGTGCCTCAAAAGCTGGGGGAAAAGAATCCCCTGAAAGGCAGCCAGAGCCTGCATTTAACCCCCTTTTTCTAAAAGATATTTTTTCTGAAAGGTATTTATTTCTAGGTGGCTTTAAAAGCATTTCCTCGAACGCAGGGGAAAAAACAAACAAACACAGCCCCTTTTAAAACCCACAGCTGGTTTTTACCTTTGTAAAAAATCTAAAGACACATATTTTGCCATTTGCACCCTGAATAAAATTTATTCTGCCCCCCTCCCCACTATAGCAAAAGACAAGGAATATTAACAGGAATTAAAATGCTCACAAGAGGCAAGCAGCCAACCAGGCTCACAAGAGGCAAGCAGCAAGCAGCCATGCCTCTCTGTCTGCTAGTAAAAAAAGGGGGGGTTAGGCCTTGTTTGGGACGTGCCCGGGCATGTCATGCTCCCCGTGATCTGGGCATGCGCAATGCTCAAGGGCGTGTCATTGCAAGGGGCAGGGGAGTTTGCTCCCCGTGATCTGGGCATGCGCAATGCTCAAGGGCGTGTCATTGCAAGGGGCAGGGGAGTTTGCGCGGGCAGGGACATGCCCGGGCATGTCATGCTCCCCGTGATCTGGGCATGCGCAATGCTCAAGGGCGTGTCATTGCAAGGGGCAGGGGAGTTTGTGTGGGCAGGCCTGAACAGCTAGCGATTTAACCCCAGCAGTCTTTTGAAGATGGCAGCCTCTGATGGAGATTTGTTTGATGTAAATTTGACCCCCAAACCACCCAAGCGTGGGCGCAGAATAAGAAAAGGACCTGAGTTATACAGTTTCATTGAAGAGAACAAACTTATAAAACCTTGTTATTGCAGATTCTGCAAAACATCAAATGGTAAGTAAATATGTTTTTATTTATGATAATGTAAATGGTGCTGGAGCGGATACACCGCTAACAGGATGTGCTTTATATTTTGCAGACTCTGAATTAGTAATACCTAGACAGCAAACACTTCAAGACACCCCGCTTTTAGATTCCTGTGGTAATCGCCATGGTCAGAAAGCTTCTGCAGATTTCTCTGATCTAGACTGTAACAGGGATTATGAGCTATCCCAGAGACCACGCTATCTACCTTGTGAGTTAAAGAGCTGCAATTTGTGTAAAGACTGGTTTGCTTGTGACTGCGGACGTGATTTGTGGGGCACAGACGGGTCAGAGTATTATAAAATAGTATTATCTTCTGATTCTGATAGTGGTGATGAGGGATATTTTTCTGATGGCAGAGCCGTGCACCCTCTGAATTCTGTATAACCAATAAAAGACTGTGTTAATGTCAACACTTGAACATTTGTCAGTGGTCTTTCAGTATAACGATGCATGAAAAGCTTTTAAGTCGTATTTATTATACTCCGGGGTGTGTAGGGAGTTATGGAGGTGTGAATGCCCTTTTTCAGGAAGCTAGAAAACATGATAAAAACCTGACCATGAAGCAAGTCAAGACGTGGCTGTCAAGGGAAGACGCTTATACGCTTCATAAGCCTGCAAGAATTAATTTTCCTAGAAATAAAACAGTAGTGTCTGGCTTAGATCATCAATGGCAGGCTGACCTCATAGATGTCTCCAAATTTTCTAAAGAGAATCATGGAAAAAAGTACATCTTAGCAGTTATCGATGTGTTATCTAAATATGCCTGGGCCTCCCCTTTATCTGATAAAACAGGGAGGGAAGTTACATCCGCTTTCCAGAATATCTTTCAAACAGGACGTGCACCCCGAAAATTACAGACAGATGCAGGTAAAGAGTTCTTGAATATTCCACTGAAGAAACTTTTAGCACGTTACGGCATTCATCATTTTGTCACTCATAGCGAAACTAAAGCAGCCGTTATAGAGAGGTTTAATAGAACCCTAAAAAACAAACTCTGGAGATATTTCACAGCTAGAAATACCCACCGGTATGTGGACATTTTAGCAGATACTATTCAGGGGTACAATAGCTCTTACCATCGTAGCATCGGTACTGCTCCTAACACCGTAAATTTGTCTAACGAAAGGGGTGTGTGGATGAGGCTTTATGGGGCAACTTTAAAAAGAAAAAGAAAGGAAAAATGTCTTAAGATGGGGGATCATGTCAGGGTATCCAGACTGAAGGGTAAGTTTGAAAAGGGCTATCAGCAAACCTATACGGATGAGATATTCATCGTCAAAGAACTGCAGACAAGGGGGGAAAGAGCGGTGTATATATTAAATGATTACACTGGTGACCCTGTAAAGGGGGCTTTTTACTTTGAGGAGCTCCAAAAGGTTCCTGCTGACCAACAGCGCATATACAGAATAGAGAAAATTATCCAAAAAAGAGGGCGGGGGAGACACAGAGAATTTCTAGTCAAATGGACTGGATGGCCAGAGAAGTTCAACAGTTGGGTTAAGGAGACTGAAGTACAACATCTTTGATATGGCAGAGTTTTACATCACCCTTCCCAGCAATGCGTCAGCAGCAATTTTCCCCCAAAACAGAAATTCTAATTTTACTATACAATTAGCAAGATCATTGGATCTTCCAGGGTCATGGGAAGTAGGGCTAGCAGAGATACAGTATCCGCATAGTTGGCACACATTAACTTCTCCT